AGGATGCCAAACTACTTTTTAATTTGTTTTATTGTTTAATAAATTAAAAAATTGTCAACTCAAATGAATGTTCAGCAGAATTCTAAACATTTAGGTAAACTTCCGTCGGCACCTTTTTTTCAAAATTCTTTAAAATAATTTTGGATTCCAGTTTTCAGTGAATTTTGATGATTTGTTTTCGAATTTGAAATAACTGTTGATTTTTATGTTTCTGGTATTTTTATAAAAAATAATTTCATAGCTTGAGTGTTATATGACGTTGGTTCGAAAATAAGTTTTTTTTTTTTTTAAATTAAAACAGATTATAAAGAAATTGAGATTATATTGTTATTATTATTATTTCAAAATAATGTTTATAAAAATAAGTAAAATGAAGCAAATAGGTCAAATAAATAATATTGTGGAGACTATTTCCGTGAAAACACCTTTTATAAATTAATTCAATAAATAATAATAATATAATAAATTTAATAATAATAATAATAATAATAATAATAAATAATTAAAAAGTACCTCCCGATATTATTCTCCGAAATTGTTTCAAATTTCGTATTTGAAGATCTTAATGGGTACTACAGCCTACGAGAAAAAATTACTTATGCAGATCTGCGTCTGCCTATAGCTCCCGTATAAAGCTCATCATTAAAACGGTATTTTTCGGAATTTGTTGGAAAATTTTCAAGTTCCTTCCAAATGGTAGAGGGTATTAAAACAAAAATCGGCCCGGCCGAACTTATCTGCTCTTTTACTTGTTGTTATTTCTTTTGCACCACGTTAAAATATTAATCTCAGACCACAGGGAATACATTTATTCCGGATCAGAATCAAATTTGATGTCCATTTAACTATACCTATCTGACTGTCCGTCCGTAAGATTTTCTGTCAGTTTCGAATTCGATCTCCGATTATTTGTATTGAAAAATGACCATATCTGTCTACATGTTGTTATAGCTCCCATATTAGAATACCATGGATACATGGACAGTGGGCGCACTAAAGACCTAGACAAATCCGAAATCATTACTATTCTGACATTTTTGTAGTTTTTGCAAAGAAAAATTAGGTACTAGTTGGGTCGCCTCAGGAGATAAAAAAGGGTGAGATAAAAAACTGCAACAAAGTCAAAAGCCATTATTTTTACATTTTTGTTAATATTATTGAATGAAAGCAAAAAATGTCGGAAATAGCATCAAATTTTAGAATAAAGCCTTGAAATGGCCCATGAAACCTTTACACGCTGCCCGAATGTTGCTCTGTGGTATTTTGGCCCATTCTCGGCGAAGAGCTTGCTTGAGGTGATCAACACTTTGGCATTTTTTAGTGCAAAACTTGCTTTAGGCCATAATGGCGACCTGTGACGTAATTACAAATTAAAATGGATAGATGTCAACAAATCGAGATAGGAAGATCCATAATGGGACTCTGGGACTCATATTTCGAGGTATAACCAAAAATTTGGGTCATTTAAGCGTGTTTTGTATGATATAAGAAGTTGTAAAGAGATTTGTTAATTTTTTTCTGATGGCTCCTTTGGCGACAATAACAATTATGGATATTCCTAAACTAATAACATGATTTTTGAACATTATAACTAACCAAAAATTTGAAAAACTTCAAATTTTTTAAAAGGAATTTTGTTGTAACTGATGCTTCAAATAAAAAAAATTTCGTATTACAGTCTATGGCAGGAAATTGTCTTTGCAGATCTACCTGCGGTGTTTTGATGATTTTAGCTACATTATTTGCCGGAATTGTTACCAATCTCGTGTTTCGGTGTTTCTATATTCGGTGTTTTTAAGGCTTAAAGAGAATTTTTAACGGATTTTATTTATTTTATTTTACATTTATTTTTTTTCGAAATTTTCCAAATTGGTTGCAATAGGTGGAGGGAAATAAAAGTTCGGCCCGACGAGAGTAATTAAAATATTACTATTTTTTTCCAAATTTACCTAATTTTTATACAAAAAAAATTCTACATCTCTATTAAATGATCACATAAATTACAAAATAAGAAATTATTTTTTTTTTACTTCCAGAGAACGATTTTACAGGTACATTTAAAAAAAAAACTACGTTTGTACTTTTTAGTTTAATTATTTACATATATATTTAATAATATAGTAATACAAAAAATCTAAAAAAAAATTAAAAGCACCTTGAAATAAAGAAATTCCAAATCTCTAAATATATCACAAATTTAAAAATAATAATAATTAAAAGATGGGCTTGAGTTGAAATTTGACAGGAACCACATTCAGCTTTTTAAATTCAATTGAAATAAACCTACAGCCCTGTCCTATAAAAAGAGTTGATAGTATGTCTCTAACCATTAAAGAGCTGTAAATTGCCAAAAAAAAATATTTTTTATTAAAAAAAAAATATTTAGAATTATATGCCTAACTTTATTAAAACAATTGAATGTTTTTTTTTTTGGAACGTAGTTTTTTTTTCTCTACCATACAATGCCAAAATGTTGTTTTTTTCAAATAATATATGTTTGGTTTTTAAGTTAGAATTTTATAGTTTTTTTTTAATTTATAACTGTTTATTTTTTTATTTTTTAAAAAATATTTAAAATTTTTTTCTCATGCCCTATTTTCTTATATAAACTTCCTATGAGGGAACATTTCATTCTGCGAAGTGCCAAAACATGCATTTCGAATCCATATCGGGGGGCCAATACGTCTTTGATATACTTTATTTCCAGTATTTTCATTTGCTTTTTTTATTTACTACTAATCTGAGGTACCTTCTTAAAATTTGTGATTTGATGTAAAACATCTAGCGTTACGTTTTTTATTGGTTTCCGATATTTTAGGGAATACTTCCCACAATGATTTTCACTTCCTTTAACTAAAAAATTACATTTTTATTTATTTTTTTAATTTTTAAAAAAATATTTAAACTTTTTTTCTCATGCCCTATTTTCTTATAAAAACTTCCTATGAGGGAAGATTTCATTCTGCGAAGTGCCAAAACATGCATTTCGAAACCATATCGGGTGGCCAATACGTCTTTGATTTTATTAATTTCCAGTATTTTAATTTGTTTTTTTATTTACTACCAATCTGAGGTACCTTCTTAAAATCTGTAAGTTGCTGTAAAACATCTAGCTTTATGTTTTTTTTATTGGTTTTCGATATTGGAATGCTTCCTACAATGACGTTTCACTCCCTTCAACTAAAAAATTACATTTTTATATCCTCCACCGTTCTATGAAGGGTATATTAGCTTTGTCATTCCGTTTGTAATTCCTCGAAATATTCATAATAGACTCTACAAAGTAAATATATTCTGGATCAGCTTAAAATTCTAAAACGATCTAGCAATGTCCCTCTGTTCGTCTGTCCGCCTCTTTGTCTATTGCAAGCACGCTATTTTGCTAAAATTTTGCATACATGCATAGTTTACCAGTAGTCAGGTTAAGTTCGTAAATGTACCATGTCGGTCCACGTTTTCGTATAGCCCCCATATAACGGTACCTACCGATATTCGGTATTTTCATAATTTTAGCCACATTATTTATCGGAATTGTTTCGAATTTGGCATTTGAAGTTCGCAATGGATACTACAGCCTAAGACAGAAAGTTGTCTATGCAGGTCCAATTTTTCGTATAACGATATATAACGATCCCTCCCGATATTCGGTATTTTGATTTTATCAACCTTATAACCGATTTTTTTAAGCTTCGTATTTGAATATTGTAATGGCTTATGACAAATGTTGCCTATGCAGGTTCATGTCGTCGTATAGACCCGAATATAATAGCTACATTCGGTATTTTTAAGATTTTAACAGAATTTTTAACTGATTTTATTTATTTTAATTTATTTATTTAATTTTTTTTTTGAAAATTGCCAAATTTGTTCCAAATGGTGGAGTGTATTCGAAGTTCGGCCCGGCCGAACTTACAGCTTTTATATTTGTTTTTTGAAATTTTTCGAATTCCTACCAAATATTGGAGGGAAGTTTTTGTTTCTTGTTTCTTTTTCTAGTATATAAAGGAAATTAAATTTGTTAATAGAGCGACGCTTCTGAAATTTCTTCTGAAAATTTTTGCTCACTAACACACATATATATACATAATATCACGAAAAATTTGATAAAAAAGTATTTGACTAAAAATATACATTTTTTATTTATTTATTATTATTGTTATTATTATTATTATTATTATTATTATTATTATTATTATTATTATTATTATTATTATTATTATTATTATTATTATTATTATTATTATTATTATTATTATTATTATTATTATTATTATTATTATTATTATTATTATTATTATTTATTTATTTATTTATTTATTTATTTTTTTTTTTTTTGATTTTTGAAGATTCGAACATTTGTTTGCTTAAGTCTGCAGTATCCCCTCTATTGGGTTAACTTCTATTTCTTGAAATTACAGAGAGCAATTTTTTTTTGGAAAACTTACAGCTTTGCAATATTTGCTGATCGGTACCAACGCCTTGATTTCATCTCAGCGATTGCAATTTTTTTAATACCTAGTTGTTATTTAGATCCAGCGGTTATTCTTCACTGCCCACAAGATTAAAGTAGCAAAAACGATATGACAATATCTCTAGTGAGTTAAAAAGATGTCTCTCAAGTTAGAATTGACATGCGAATTTCCGAGTAAAGCAGCTGCCATAAACTACTACACTCCTTTAACGTTACCCAAGCAACCCATTTACTTCCCAACACAGTTTTTAAAAACTACTTTTCCTCGACTTCCGAAAAAAAAACTTTTTCCTTATGCTAGGCAATTATTTGTTGTATTTCTTACCGAGTTTCAATTCATTTTTTTTCTTTTTGTAATTAATAATTTTCTTCCTCTTAGAACCCAAATGCCGTCGGCAAATTCCCACAAAATTTCGAAATAAAAAGAAAATTGGTAATTTTTTTTTGTAATTTTTTTAATTGTATTTATTTTTTGTGATTTTTTTGTTTTCTTTTTTGTTTGTATAGAATGGTGGTAAGAACCGTTGACTTGTTGTTTTGTATTATTTTATATCCTTTTTTACCATTTAATTAATTTAAATTATTACAGTTTTTTATCGTATGATTTGTTGGTTGATTTCTATCATTTTTTTATACAATTTTATTGAAGGAATGTTGTGTGTTTTTTCTTTAAATACATAATTAATAAATTGTTCTGTAGAGCCATTAAGTTATTATTAATATATTTGTAATGTTTTGTTTTTTGTTTGTTTGTTTGTTATCGTTTATGTTTAATTTAGAGCTTATGTACTGGTTTCTTGTTTGCCTTACAAATGTTCAACACTTAAAAAATTGGGGTTTGGGGGGGAGATGGTTTTTTTTTTCATATTTTTAATAATAATTGTATTTATTTATAGGAATTTTGTGTGTGTGTGTGAAAATTAATTAAAATTAAGAAAATGGGTTTTTTTACAATAATAAAAAAAATATTTATAGAAAAAATAATATTACACTCAAAATTTAAGAAAATTAAATTTTTTATACACTCTTCAAATGTGGGAGAGTAATGTGGGAGCCTAAATTGGCCAGAAGCCCATGAGGATATATATATTTTTTTCAAACTTAGATTGGCATTCTATTGGCAAATTAATGCCCGCCGCCCACATTACCCTCCCTTATTTCGGGGAGAAAAAAAGGAATGCAAAATTTTGTTATACCTTACTTACTGCCTACCAAAAAAATTTTCCATAAAATTTTACCTAAATTCAGTTGGGGTTTTTATTTTCAAAAATATGTTAAAATTTCCCTTTGAATGGCATTACTGGAATTTTAGATTTCTATTTAAAAAAATGATGGAAATTGGCCCATCCAAAATTCGTTAAAGGGGTAGGACCCTTCCTTCCCCAAATGCCTTCCATGTTTGACTATGAAATATTCTCTTTGTTGTTGCATTAAAATTTTAAAGATAGTTTTTTTTTTGTTTTTTTAAATATTTTTTTATTTTATTTTATAATTAGATTTGTTGTTTTTCTTTAATTATATTTTAATTAAATTTAAAAATATTACCTATTGACTAATGACTTAACTATATACACAAGTTTAGGCCTAAACCTAAGAGAAAATGGGAAATATGGATTCGGGGGCATTGTTTTTTTTTTTTTTTTCTTGTATTTTTGTTTTTAATTTTTTCTCGGAGGCTAAGCAGGGAAAATGAAACGAAATTTTAACAAAAAAAAATTGGGGAAAAATTTTTGGAATGTGTGCTTCTTGTTGTTTTAATTTTTCTTAAAGTGTGGAAATATGTTAAAAAGTGTTATTTGTGAAAAATATTTGAGAATTTACCTTGCCACAGCCGTTGTTGAGACAGACGCAGGCACATGTATTTTTTTATTTATTTTTTTTTTTTTTCTAAATTTCAATTTTTTCTTTTCCACTTTTTAACACTTTTTCACATTCCTTGGAGAATTTTTGTTTTTTTTTTTATTTTTCCTTTACCATTTTTATCCTTTTTTGGGTTTTTCTTTTCATTTTCCATTCTTAGCCACCAGGTCTTAATCCTTAATTATTTCTCTTTTTTTCATATATAAAAATCAAAAATTAAAAAATAATAAAATAAAAAAACAAAAAAAATATATTATTTTTTTTTTATAAAACATCACTTTGTAACTCGTTTGATTTGAATTGCCTTCCATTTTTTTTCTACTATTTTTTTTTTTAATTTATATTTTTAACTTTATCCTCAGTATTTTTCTGGTTCTCCTTCTTCTTCTTCTTTTCCATAATTTTTTGCTATATATAGTTACATTTATAAAGTTTTTTAAAAACTTTTTTTTTTAGTTACAAAAAAACAGATTATTTTTCTTTAAGAATTCTCAATTAGTTTACAAATATCTCTCCACCTCTTCTTCTTTGTCTTCTCTCCTCTGTGCTTCAATTTTGCCGTAGCCGTAGAAAAAAAAGCTCACTCACATTCAGAACAAAAATAACGGAAAGAATCTTTTTTTAGCTTAATTTTTAACACAGACTAATGCACTGGTTCAGCTTGATCCTTTGCCACAGCTTGGTATTGGGTTATCCGCCCGGCATCCCGGTTCCTTTGGACCACCATGATTTTAATCCTTACGCAAAAGCCTTTAGCTAAATACCTGTAGATTTGCCGCATTCAAGCCAAAGCCCTTTGCCAGGACTCCGGACATCCATTCCGCTCAGCCACACTTATGTCCCTGGTTCCTGTTGTTGTTGTTGTTGCTGTTTCTCCATGCTGCTCTCCAACACCCATCGCTCGCACTCTAGGACGATTCATAGCCAAACCATGCAGCGGAAGCTGCTGCCGCAGCAGCAGCCGTTGTATGATGCTATTCCCCGGAACCACCGAACGAATTAAAATGTCTTACCGCTGCCGCTCCAGGAGCGGCGGCCGCCCCGAATTGCAGACTCCATTCGAAAAGGCGTCGGGCATGCAATTGTTGCTGTTGCTGCTGGTGATGGTGGTGATGTTGCTGCTGATGCTGGTGATGATGCAGCGAATGGGGATTCAAATTCAAATGATGCATACCAGCTGCACCACTAACACCCAGCGCCGAGGACACCGAGGAGGGCGAGGCCGCCGAGGAGGGGGCCTGCAAAACACCACCGCTACTACTGCCGCCACCCGGTGAAGACTGCGGCTGTTGCAGGTGTTGATGATGGGCAGCCGCCGTGGAGTGCTGCAGTGCCTGATCGCTGGTGTGAAACAGATGAGGATGATGGGCGGGATTCAGATGCGGGTGCTGGTGATGATGATGATGGGCCGCAGCAGCATTGTGATAACGCATGGGATCCATGTACATGGCAGCGGCGGCGGCAGCTGCAATGGAGGAAGCTTGTTGCTGATGTTGCTGCTGTTGTTGTTGCTGCTGCTTGACTTGTGACAAGTGATCGTTATCATTGTTGTTGTTATTATTGTTGCTATTCTGGCCAGCATTTGTCGAGCCCAACGGACTCTGGGGCGACATTACATTCGTTGTCATTGTGGCCGAGGAACCGGCCGACGAGGAAGGTGTATTGGGTCCGCCATGCTGTTGCTGGTGTTGTTGCTGCTGCTGTTGCTGGTGTTGTTGATGCTGTTGCTGTTGTTGTTGCTGCTGGTGCAGGGAGGCAGGAGTTGACGCAGCTGCTGCTGAGTTCGACTCCTGGATTTCTGATTGCTAGTGAGCCGCAAGCTGATGGCTCGTGGGTGTCTGCATGTTCTGGGGGCTAAGCATGGGCGGACTGTGGCTGTGACTGTGTGTACCCATGGGGCTGCCATGCATATCGTGATGAGGATGATAGCCACCATGACCATGCATGTGACCCGGCGGCATGCCATCCATCATATCACCGCCCATGGTATTGGGCGGTGTCATGCGTTTCTCCTTTTGCCGCCTATTGCAGAACCACACTCTCACCACCTCCTTCTCCAGCTGCAAGCTATCGGCCAGTGCTGTGATTTCCTGAGCGGAGGGCTTTGGCTGTTTGTGGAAATGTTGTTCGAGGGCACCTTTGACACTGACCTCAATGCTGGTGCGCTTCTTGCGTTTACGACCCTGGGCAGCTATTTTATCAATGCTGGTGGGGGAGCCTGTAGTCGAATCGGCTTCCTCCAGCCATTTTTGCAACAAGGGTTTCAGCTTGCACATATTCTTAAAGCTCAGCTGTAAAGCCTCGAAACGGCAAATTGTGGTCTGTGAGAAAACATTGCCGTACAGGGTGCCCAGGGCCAAACCCACATCGGCCTGGGTGAAACCCAATTTTATGCGACGCTGCTTGAACTGTTTGGCAAAGGCTTCCAGATCGTCGGAGGTGGGTGTGTCTTCTTCGCCGCCGCTAACATCACGATCACCATGCATGTGGTGCGGGTGTATGGGCAGCGAGGGAGATTCTCCCCTTAAGGCATGATGGAGTGGGGCAACACCTTGATGATGTGGATGGGCAGGATGTAGCATGCCGTTCATGGCATGATGGTACTGTAGAGGTGATCCACCTGTGGGAGCATAGTGGGCAGCAGCGTGCACTGGGGCATGCCAGGCATGCGGTGAGGCCATGCCCTGTTGGACCCGATGTTGTTGTGACAAATGGGACATTTCCTGTTTAACATCGGCGGGATGATGGTGTGTGTGATGTGACTGTAACGCCCAGGGATCTGAGGGATGCAAAGCGGTCCAGGGATTGGAGCTCAGGCCACCTGTGGGCGTGACCGAACTAAGACTGCCGGCGGAAACCCCCGGTCCAGCCGAGCCCGGACCACCGGTACCAATGGTACTGGGACTGGGCGATGAGGGCAACTGGTGATGGGCCGCCGCCGCTGCTGCCGCACTGTGATGGTGATGATGATGCTGCATGTATTTCATTTCGCCGGCATCCGCTGCCGAACGGGGCGATGAGGTGTGGTAACCACCACCCAATGCCATGTCCAGATCACCGCTGCTGGGTGTCATGTACGAGGTGGCGGCCATCCCCACCGCTCTAGGGCTGTTCAGGCCCTCCACGCTGGCGGGGTAGGGCTCCAAGTTGGGGCTCAGTTTAACGACTTTGAAAACCGATCTGTCAAAAGAAAGACCAGGGTCCCTATGCTCATTCCACTCAAACCGTGAGGCAACCGTCTTGAAGTCTTGCGTGGTAACGGATAACGAAGAAAATGTTCAGCGAGCAAATGTTGGGTTGGGCGGGGGTTATTGTTGTACTGCGTTCAAGTTCGGCAGGGGGTTATTGCAAGCCAGGTTTGAAGTTAGCAACAAGTTGACAAGAAAACCGACGGCTTAAAATTTGTGAAAATTATTTTTAAATTTCCACAAAGTTTGTTTTGTTTATTTTTTGAGAATTTCTTTTTTTTAATTTTTTTGTTGGATTCTTAAATTTGCATTATTTGTGAATTATTATTATTGTGATTTTTTTTCTTCTTCTGGCTTATAAATTATTCCAAATTCTTGTTTTTTTGTTTGTTGTTTTGTGATTATCACTTTTTTTTGTTGTTTGTTAATGATTGTTTTGAACACTGTTTGCAGTTGTTTTGTTTGGCAAAAATTCCGCACACGCGTCAACGCGCCGTTAGTGTTTTCTGAGGCTGCAAAATTTCTTTATTATTTTTTTCTTAACTCCAGCAAAGCCGCTTTTGATTTTCTTTTGCGGTCAATTGTTTATAACAAATTTCTTTTCTTGTAATTTTATTTATTTTTCTTTAATTTGTTGATCTAATTTCATTTGAGATTGTTTTGATTCCATCGAAGATTTTAACATAAAAATTCTATTAATATTTCTTTTTATGAATTTTTATTGGGAGTTTTCATGTGTGTTTGTGTGCGAATGAATGAATTGAATTTTTCTTATTTCTTATTTATGCGGAGACTTTAAAATATTCACGTGTAAACTCGTGGAGCTATCGAAGTGAACTAACGTCATGCATCGTCAAACGAAGGTACAGAGAGTAAGCAGAAGGCAAAGAAACTCAAAAAGGCACACACACGCGGGCTCATGCACAGAGGCAACAACGACCACTACACGGACACGGAAACAGTATCAACAGCACAACCACCACCACCACTAAAACACAACGAACATCAGGCCCAGCAACATAGCATGGCCAAGCAACGAGCCAAAGGCACAAGCAACAAAGGCAAACACAGGCACACGAACTTACACACACACAACACAGGCTAATACTCTTTGAAATCGTGGAGAAGAGGAAGAACAAGCATATTTCCAGTCACTACAAAAGAAGGAAAGAAATGGCCTACCATTTTAACCACATTAGGGGGAGAGAGATAAACATAGTCTCGCACATTTTTAAACAAGAGTAAATGAGACAAGTTCATTAGACGAATAGCAATGCATTAAAAAGAGAAGGAGAGATGATTCAAGAAATTCATATTGGATTTTGTTAAACACAATCAGACTGGAAGGCACAGCTACTCACTTATACCAAAACAACAAATACAAGTGAGAGAGAGAGTAACACAACACAGCTCAGACTCTTGTTTAATGCGTTGTTTGTTTTTCTTTTTTCTTCTTTGAACAAAGAGTCTTAAACTCTCATGCTCTTACACAGGTGAGGGCGTTGAGCATAAAAACCGTAAACCAAACCGCAAACGGCCAAAGGCAAAAACATACACACACACACACCAACAAAGAGCCAAAGAGAGCAAATATTTCCAGTGTTACGCCTATTTTTGTAATCAAATAGCCGGGTAAAGCATCTAGTTTAGTTCCAGTCAAGTGGCGAGCCAGCTCACTTGGAGTGACATTTTTAATTGAAATGTGTTTTGGCTTAAGTGTGACAAAGAGAGCATTTGTTGTGATGGAGGAATAAACAAAAGCACCAACAATATTATTTGCTTTTCTTTCGCTCTTTGAAAAATCATCAGGGAATCATAGGAAAGGCCATACAAATGGCTGGTCAGTGTGAGATGGGTCAATAATTTCTGGGGGGATAAAACAGCTAGCTATCTTATCACACACACACTCGCTCTCCCCAAAAAGAAAGCATCCCAAGAAGAAAAATCTTCCCTTCAAAGAAAAGCTCATTCGCAAGGGATGAGAAAAACACAGCACTTTTGAGGAACAACTCTTTTGAATTTTCCCGACCCATCATTGTTGGTGGTGGCAAAATTTGCTCAAGAAAGTCTATGCGCCGCCACTAGTTCCTTCGCGGTCAGGTTACTCTAGTCGACAAAGCTCTCATTACAGTTGGTTTCGGTCTGTCGCTATTCCAGCATTAGACGCATTCTCAAAAAGTTCAAAAATGATGGGGCTGTTTTTTGTTGGGATCTACCAAAGAAAAGGAAAATGTCCACACAATTTTTTAATAAAAAAAAAAAAGAAGAGGGCACGTTTTGAAACGTGTGCCGTATGAAAATGAGTAAGAAAGCAAGAAAAGCAAATTTACTTTTGCTTTCGTTGGGAGACAACAGAAAATGTTTTTTTGTTGAGAGGGAGGCAAGTCTCCTTATAGGTATTGTGGGTGGTTGGCCTCCGATGTCCATAAAGAGAAGTCCATTTTACATGCGACGGTGTTGATGTTGCTGATTTTACGTGTTTGCTGTTTATCACAAGTTCGATGGTGGAAATAGAGATAAATAAAAATATGGTTAATAAAATCATTAAAAATACATTGAAATATTTTAAAATAAATAAAAATCATAAATATTACAATACAACATTTTAAACAATTTTTAATAATCAAAATAAGAAAACATTATTTTCAAAGTGAACTTTTTAATGAAAAATGTGTATGAATACAAAAATATTCAAATGAATGAACGTGATTTTTTTAAAAGGACCAAAAGCTCTGTGCCAACTTGAACACCATGAAGATTTTTGGAAAATAATCCGCTACTCTTTGTTAGAAATGCCTAGATAATATGTTTTAAAAATCGACAATTTTTGGTCAGGAAGCCCTTAATGTGTCCTAGCTGGAAGAAAAATGGGAAACCATTTCCAGTTCTTTCCAAAGCCATTACAGAGGAGTTTATGTTAGTGTTGCAAACTAAGGTTTTTGATAATTAAAATGCGATGCAGTGTCTCTTTCAGGTTTATTTGTTTATTTTAAAAATATTCAATACATTTTCCTAGAAGTTCAAAATAGACCAATGATTAAAATCTACAAAGGATTGGGAAGTACAGCAAATGTATATGTGAAACCATTTGGTTTTTAAAATGAGGCCCTAACAACGGACGTGAAATGTCAATTATTATTCTGTTCCAGAACCTGCAAAAATTTAGTAGTTCAGCAAAAATTTTTCCATATCCTAAAGGAAAACTCGATTATTGTAGCAATATTTTTTTAGATTTTTTTCAGGTTCTGAAACAGAGAGAATGGTTGCTTAATTTTCAATTTTTATGTTTTATATTTAATTGAGTAAAAATTAAATGATAATTTTTATACGCCATACACAACGAGTCACTAAAAACAGAAATTACCATATGTGTGTGGAAATACAGATATTTTTGTTCTCGAAATATGTCAATGTCAAAGCGTATTAAACTATCCTCTATCGAATTTTTGGAAACTTTTTTATGTTTTGTTAAAATGTTTTAATTTATTAATTTATTTTTTATTTTATTTATTTTTTTATTTATTTATTATTATTATTATTATTATTTTTTTTTTTTTTTTTGAATGACCAATTCTTCGAACAACTCATATAATAATCCATTCTAAAATAACATTGATATATATAGTTCTAAGGAAATTTGTGGCCGGAAATGCCATCGGCGTAGCTAGAAATGTCATTCGAAGGGGCCCAAAGGGCAAAAAATTAGATTTTTCAACAAAAAATGTTCTGAAATCATTTGAAAATGGTTCATTTCGAAGCCATGGTTACGTCGGCTAAGGAAAAAAAGTTCTACATAAAAAAAACTCCAAAGCAGAAGGGTAAATAGACTTTGACAAATAAAAATAATATAAAAACATTGCCTTGATGCTTTCCAATATAGAATCATTTTGTTTAATTATTATTTTCATTTTAGCTCATCACTTCAAAATGAAGAAACTATAAAGAATGAAACATTAGCGTAGTCCCAAGAGAAAATACATGTTTTTAAAGAAAATTTACCAACTTCCATGATTTATTCACGTCTGTTGCAAATGGAAGAAACCTAGTTTGAGCTAACGAGAATATCTTTTTATTATAGAAGAAAAGACCATCAGACCAGATTTTTTTCTCTTAGGACACAAGGAAGAACTTTTAATGACATCACAGAAAAAAGGAAAAATCATTAGAGTGAGAGAATAACGGAAAAAAATTCTTAAAGAAGTCCACGTTAGAAGGTCTGTACATTAAAATTATAAATCCATATTTTTTTCCATGTTCGCTCCATTTATTGAAAATGTTTCTGGATTTTTGCAAAGCATTCCAAAATAACAAAAAAAAATGTTTTGTTAGGATTTTTTCAAAACCTTCAGAATTTCAAACGGACTTTTCCAAGATCTTTATCCTGAAGACTTTCAAATTTTATCTTTTGTAGACTAATTCTCTGTCCTCTAAATAATTTTTTAAGAGGGTCTTAGCTCTTAAATTTTTACAATGACCTTCTGGGCTTAACAGACTTTCCAGGGTCCTCTGGATTTTTTTTTTTCCGATTTTTTAGGTGATTTTTTAACATTGTTTCCAAAGATCTTCCTTAAAAAGTATCAGAGCTAGTAACGTTGACATTCTGAAATTTTTTTAGAAAGACTAGCAGAGATATGACCATGAACTATTAAAGATTTCTTTGAAAGACTGGCAAGGACATAAAATTATAGTTTGTAAAAATTTTGTTTCCAAAGAAATGTGGATTTTGTCAAGACTTTTTTTCGAATGACTTTAAGAATTTATCAAAAGATCCTCAGATTTGTGGACTTTTAAATAGTGTCCAAAGACCTCTAAGGGTCTATGAAAAATATTTTTTTTAAGGACCCCAAGTTTGCAGCTCTGCATATCTTTTGAAAAAAAAAAACTCTTTAAAACTCCACGTTTTAAGTCTTAGGCCTTTGGAAAAAATTCTTTAAAGCTCCACGTTTTAAGTGTTAGGGCCTTTGGAAAAAAGTTCACCTTTATAAGTCTAATAGTATTTGGAAAATATTCGTAAGTCTACATTTGTAAATCTGATCCTGTTTGAATGAGATATTAAAAGGCTTAAAAATCCACGATTCTCAGTCATAGAGATTGGAAAAAAGTCTTGACAAAGTTCATGAGAACTGATAATAATTGGAAATAAAATCTTGAAAGAAAGTTCACGTTTATAAATCAGAAAAATATTAAAAAATATATTTAAAAATCCATGATTATCAGAGTCGTTCAAAAAATGTCTTGACAAGGCCCATATTTGCTGTTTCACCTGTCTTTGAAAACGAAATTCTTACAATGTCTCATAGCCTTGCCAGTCTTTCGAAGAAATCGTTAATAGACACCATATATATGCTTCTTTCTCTTAAAAATCTGAAAAGGGGTCTTGAAAAAGTATGCAAAAAAAAAATACTTACAAAAATCCAACTTTTAAAGCACAGACATTTTTAAAAAAATGTTTTAAAGGTCTTTTGAAAAAAGTATTTAGAACACAGCAAATTTGCTTGAAAGTAAGGGAAGTACAGAGAATTTACTTTTAAAAATTGGGTAAAAATGCAGGTATCATTAAAAATTCACTGCTTTTTTTTTTGAAAAAAAAAAAAAAATTATTTTTATTTTGGAATGTCTTGTAAAAATCCAGAAACATTTTCAATATATGGAAAAAAAATATTTTAGTTAAAAAAATCAATTTTTGGACGCAGATTGACCCGGGAAAATTTGGAGGCCGTGGATCTGAGGGGAATCGGACACTGTTTCGAAATAAAACAATTAGTAAAGCCAAAGGAAACGAACATAAAAACTATGATTAAATCGAGTTAAAACCAAAAATAGGTTTATAAAAATCCAAAGTTAAAACTAGTCTTAAAAGATTATAGTTTAAAAACTCATTTCAAATTTTGAGGGCATTGAATAAAACTTTAAGAAATTCAAAGAGGCACGCAACGTTTTCTTCTGAAATATATGTTTTATGCTTGACGATCTGGGAAGAAATTCTTAGAA